TCTCTCTCTCTCTCTCTCTCTCTCTCTCTCTCTCTCTCTCTCTCTCTCTCTCTCTCTCTCTCTCTCTCTCTCTCTCTCTCTCTGAGAGTAGGTTAACGGAGACCCTAATTTTCAGACCACTTGCCATGCCATTTACAAGAAAACATGTCCTGATGCATGCATATGCATCCATGGCGAGAGCAAAAGAAAACTATCTGACAAATTGTGATTCTTTCTTGACAAAGTGACATTTTTTTTCTTGACAGAGTAACGTTCTTCCTTGACAAATTCACTTTCTTAAATCTTTTCGACAAATTTTCATTCTTCTTGACATTCATTTTTTTTTTCGACAAAGTGACACTCTACTCGACAAATTGGCATTCTTGAATCTTCTCGACAAATTGACATTCTACCACATTCTTCTGCCACATGGCTGATCAAGAATTTCCTGACAAACGGATGCACTTCCATGCGGACACTCTCCACAAGTGGTTAACGGGGGGACCCCCAGTTTCAGGCCCTGGGTAATGGGTCCAAAACAGAAATTAGGGTTTGGGGGTCAAATTTGAAATTTTATGTTTTACCTGGATGGCCCTGACTTGTTGTGCACGTTCGTAGATAGGGAAACTTTTTGACGTAATGGTTATATGGGGTGCAGCTGCTTTTGGATGCATTCATGTTAGGGGCTGGCATTCCTTCTTTTGTTCAGAAAAGGACGTCTCATATATGTGGTTTCTCAGTTAAATGGACTTCAGAAAAGGTGTTTTTTTTTTTTTTTTTTTTCAGTTAAATCGAGGCTAGCTTCCCTTTTCTTTCTCTCTTTCGGTGTATTGCAGCCAGATGGATGCCGGTGTTTCGTGGGTTGTCCCTCTCTATGCAGGATGGCCAGCTTCTTGAGGAGGGGTTGGCAGTTCCCTACAGAGATCCCAGCTCCCCGCTCCTCACTGCAGAATCTCGCCATGCTGTCATCCACCTTCGGTTGATTTTTGCCAAGGAAAAAAATGACTTTCAGCCTTCCTTTGATACATCCTTCTCCTCCTCCATGAGGATCGCCCAGCTTATTGAGGGGGGCTTGTCGATTCCCCACAGAGTCCAGCTTCCAGCTCCTCACTGTCGAATGTCTTCATGCTGTCGTCCACCTTTGGTTGATTTTGTCCAAGTAGAAATGGACTCCCGGCCTCCTTTTGTACATCATCCTTCTCCTCTTCCACGAGGAGCGGTACTTTGTGAACAACACAACCTTCTACAGGACTCATAGCGGCACCCCACAGACGGCGGATTGTCTTCCTAGCCATCTACTTCCTCCTGCTTTTCTACAATTCCTTGGGCGCCTTCGGTCGGGGAACCCCGCTGATTGCGATAGGACGTTGACATGGTGGATATGTCCGTTGGGTGACAGATTTCGCCGATGCCGCAGGTGAAGACAAAGGACAGACAAGGAGGTGGAAAGGGCGTAGGAAAAAGGATTACACGTACGTTTCTCTCCGCGTTTGACATTCTGTAGCTGTACGGGCACAAGGACAAATATAATGGTTACTCTTCAACGGTGTCGGATGCCCAGCGGCTGTTGAAGCATAAGAGCGAGGATTGCACGTACAACGTGTCTGTGTTTTACATCTTGTCACTGCTTTATCTTGCCATGGATGCAGGTGAGACCGCGATGGAAGCGGACAAAGCGGGTGCAGATGTGGTCGGCGCTGATGATTTGATTGAAAGAATCCAGGGTGGGTTTATGGACTTCGACAAGCTTATCGCCACACCTGACATGATGCCGAAGGTGAATTTCATCCTAAATCCCTAGCAAGCTTCAACATGCTGCTCCCCTTCTGTCCGTCTGTCTGTCACTTCCCTCAACCTTTTTTTTTTTTTTTTTTTTTTTAATGTGGCCTGATGGACCACGGATCAGATATTAAACTGATCAGAACAGATACTACACTTGATCTTAGCCAAAAGGCCGAGAAAGGTATCACTTCCCTCAACCTTGATATCACCCTACAACAATAGTTAATCCGCCAGTACAGCTGAAGATGAAGACAGGCTTGCCGGCAGAAAGAAAACAAAAAAAGAAAAGAAATTGCAATACTGAAATTGACATGCAGTAAAAGACAGGCTTACTGGCGGTCTTCACAGCTTTGCCTAATTCTGCTTCCCACCTCACTTACCTGTACCTCTGCTGTCCTATCTACTGTGGTATTGTCACACTGCATCAGAACGATGAAGTTGCAGTGCAGAAAGAGGAAAAAAAAAAAAAAAAGGAAAAAAAAAGCTTGCAATACCCAATTTGACATGCTGTAAAAGACAGTCTTACTGGCGGTCTTCACAGCTTTACTCAATTCTACATCCCACTTCACATATCTCTACCTCTGCTGTCCGGTCTACTGCAGTAGTATCACACTGCGTCAGAATACGGTGAAGCCCCCGTGCAGAAAGTCAGCAAGAAGTTGCTGCCATTCACCCAGATCCTTTGCTGCTCCAAACGGCTCGAAGGCAGCTCAAGGTATGCATCCCGTCAACGCTACCGTCTTCCCCCGAACACAACGCACCCTCGTTTTGGCTGCACCGGACCGGAAAGATAGGTTGTATATGTTTGTTATCAGTGTGCGCTGTGTTTGGGGGAAGACAATAGTCTACTGCTGATAGGTTGTATATGTTTGTTATCAGTGTGCGCTGTGTTTGGGGGAAGACAATAGTCTACTGCTGATCTTGCTTCCACCTTTCGTTACTTCACAGCCGTCAACGGTCAACAACCTCCAAGATCACTTTCTACTTCACTCGATCCGTCCGCAGGTCGTCTCCACTCTGCACGTTCTCTCCTCTCGCGTGCAGTCTTCCACTTGGACAGCGGGGTGGGCGGGGGAGGGAATTGAAAAAAAGGTATTCTCAATGTATTTGTGGCTTGTGATGCTAAGTCAGAGAGTGTGGTGATCCTGTGTGCTCGCAGGTGGCCAAGCTTGGTAGGTTGCTGGGGCCGCGAGGGTTAATGCCCAACCCCAAGGCAGGGACCGTCACAACAGATGTAACTGCAGCCATCAACGAGTTCAAGGCAGGCAAAGTTGAGTACCGTGCCGACAAGACGGGAATCGTTCATCTCTCGTTCGGTAAAGCAAATTTCAGTGAGGAGGATCTGCTGGCAAACCTGGTAGCGGTGACGGTGAGTGTTATGCCCTCCCTGTTCCTTTTCTTCGTCGCCTCTCTGGTACTTTGTCGTAATTTCGTAGAGTCGCATCTAGCTTTTAAAAAAAAGCAAGGAAAAAAAGGGGAAAAAAAGGAAAAAAGGAAAAAAAGGAAAAAAAGGAAAAAAAGGAAAAAAAGGAAAACAAAGAAAAAAAAGAAAAATGCAATCAGACTCGCGTACTTTCTTCCTTCACAGGCATGTAACAGGTAGCACACCAAACTGGCGACAAGCGCCCACTCAAAGCTCAGAGATATGGCAACCAAGAACACAGTTCAGATACAAGCTCGCTTCAGATGGCTATGGCGCATCAGCGCCTGTACACTCTCTGTTCGTCACTGTGCTCAACTCCGCTGTTCACACACTCTCAATTCAGGATCACCCTGGATATCCCACACGCAACTCACTGTACACACATGCACACACACGTTACAGTCTTCTTCCAGCTATGGCAGCGATGGCCGCTACTACCTCTACCACTATGGCTAAGCTCTCCTTCGGCCCACCTCGTCTTCGGGCATACTGCAGACCACCTCGCACAAGTCGCTCAAGCAGCGCTTCCGCATGGCTTACGCAGGAATGAATGAATGGCTGGGCTCTGCCTCTTGATTTATACTTCTGTAACTCGTTGGTCTGCCCCTTTCCCATGCCTGTGGTGCACACAGTCCCATACGGTACTTGCTTGGCTGGACTAGGACTGACTGGGACTGATACCGCTGACTGCATGGGGACGTATTGCCAACTCGCCGCAGTCGCACTGCCGACGTACTGCAGTTGGCCTCGCCACTTGCCCACTCGCCTCTGTCTAAACGTGAGCAAGTTCCGAAAGGCCACTTCCGGACTTCCGGAAGTCCGTAGACTTGGCCTTTCGGTACCGTAGCAGCTACGACCTTGACCCCTCAGGACTATAGCAGCTATGACTTTGACCCTTCGGAGGAGCTACAGCTACGACTCCTAGGACCTGCGAAGACCTACAAACGACAGGTCGACAGATCGAACCCCTACCACCTACGGACCTACGACAGCCTACCAACTACTGCGAATACACAGGTCACGGGTTCAACTCTCGGGGTTGACACAGGTACTGTACCCCGGTAAGATGAGAACTAGGGATCGAACCCTGGGGTCTGCATTCGCCACTGCTAACAAGTGAATACCGTTTCAAAAAAAGTAAAAAAAAAGGAAAAAAAAAAGAAAAAGAAAAAGAAGTGTTAATTATTCTAGTAGACTTCTAGTAATGTGAAACTTAGTAAATTATAGCTCTGATTAGAAATAGAAATAACAAAATGTTGTGAGAACTCCCTAGAATGGCCCTCTCTCTCTTCGCTGTTGCTGTGGCTTGTTGGTTTATTCTGTGTGGATCTGCCTGCGAGGATTGCTGATCCACTCAGGGGCATAGGTGTACTCACAATAGCTATCTTATCGTAAATGTGTCGGACTGCATTTACGACCGAACCTTGATGTATCTGACCGAACTTACGTCCATTAACAAGCCAAAAAAGTCGAGTGTGAGAGTGCTTCCAGAACGTTATTTACACCGTGTCTTTGTTCCTCGTATCTCCGTGCGTATGTTATGTTGTTTTCTAACTTCTCTTTTCTTCGATGTTTATTTTCGTCTTTTTCCTCTTCCCCTTTGACCACACCCCAGCATAACATCCCATGTTACATCTTCGATGCCACACGGGTCCTACCGGACCCGACTTAGGGCCGGAGGGACACACCAGGGCCTAAAGGCCCGACCTTGAGGGTCACAGGCCAGACAGATTCAGGGCAGGGGGGAGGGGGGAGAGAGAGAGAGAGAGAGAGAGAGAGAGAGAGAGAGAGAGAGAGAGAGAGAGAGAGAGAGAGAGATGTCTGCATATGGGAGTGGGTGTGTGTGCCTCTTTTGTTTTCTTTCTCTCTTTTTGCATTTGAACCATTTATTGCTTTGTGTGTGTCATCCTTGTGCAGGGCCATGCTAATCTTCGCTTTATTTTCTAATTTTAGAGATGTCCTGAATGATGTCCGTGTGCACCTTTTTTTTTTTTTTTTAATGAATACAAATACAGCTGTCTTCTCTATTGTACCCTGAGCCAAGGAGATTCCCAATGGTTGTGGGTCCACCAAGGGCTACCCACTTGCAGGAACATCTAATCTGGTCAACATTAGTACCTTAAATATACTGACCTAGCATTGACTACCCTAAGGTTATGGGTCTATACCTACCTATCTCTGCTCTGTGCGGGAGGTATAGACCCATAACCTTAGTATAGACCCATAACCTTAGCAGAGCTAGGTAGGTATAGACCCAAGCTCCTAACTCCTGGTGTGGGCCGGAAAGTCTTTAACCAACTGCCACGACCAGCCAGGAGGGAGGGACAAGCTGACTTTCTCAGTCGGTGAGCCCGAAGTATGCCCGCATAGGAGTCGTGGGGAGTCGAATGGATGCCGTGGGGAATTGAACCCACGGCCTCCTGTGTACCACTTACATGCTCAACCAACCGAGCTAGGCTGCTTTCCCCTGTGTGCATCTTTTGTACTTGTCTGCCATCTGTTCTCCTTGTGTGTGTGTGTG